ATCAAATTCACAATAAGCAACCCCCAAAACCTGTAAATACAAGTTTGGAAGCAATTCTGCCCAGCCATTCCAGAGCGGCGCTAAAAAACAAAAAAATGCCATACCGGTACGTATTATGCATGTTCATTGCTAAACATGACATGTTTGCCCCAATATGGTGGCCACTTGGCGACAACCCTGATGTATGGCGTTTTGAAATCAAATCTTTGTTCTACAGCTCATTGTTAACCAGATCACAAAACAACAGCGTGGGGCCCATGATACATGTCCACAGTGAAAAATTAGGCGTTTCGGTAAGTATGGCGGACCTTAAGTGACGCCATCTTGGTATGGCATATTGAGTTCGCAGACTTTGGCAACCTCCTTGACGATATAAAACAAGATTTAAAGTGGGGGGCCTATGATCCAAGGTCATGGATATTAATTAACGTTGTCTATCAGCCCCCAAAGTCTCGTCGTGGGGCCTATGATATATGCAAAAACTCTCTCGGCTCCCGTTCTATAAAATGCAGATATGGTACTAAATGGTTCAGATTTAAAATATGTTAAGGATAATAGCATCCGCATAATTTAAAGCAGATATTTTAGAGGTTATACCAAGAAAAATCCTTGTATAGTTGTTATATAGTTATTATATCGATTTGACAATTGCATTGATTGTTTAATATACAGAGTGGCCAAAAAGTCTGGAAACGGCCAATTATCTCGTAAATTGCTAGTCCTAATTGTACAAAATTTGGGGTACACCTATTTTGGGATACGGTGATTCCAGATTTAATATTTGCAATGTTGCCAGATTTGCTGTTTCTTTTAAATTATTAGTCACTTTGGTTTTTCAAATTCATCACCCTGTATATTCAGTCATTATTGGAATCTCCTATTCAATACGAGTTCAACCATATGTAACATTTATCATTTTATGTAGTCTGGAAGGTCTTAAATAAATAAAATAAATCTGGCAACGCCTAATTGTCTCAATAAATTTTTTAATACAAACTATTTTCAACTACATTAAAACGTAACAATTGAAAGATTATAACATTTTTAACATAATGGTTACTTTATCAAGTGTTCAAAATGTGCTCCATTTGTGAGTTGACAGTACCCTAATTGATGGTAGAATGCGTCTACCACATTTTTTCATGGTTGTTTTATTTATTTAAGACTTTCCAGACTACATACAATCATAAGTGTTACATATGATTGAACTCGTATTGGATAGGAGATTCCAATAATGACTGAATATACAGGGTGGTCAATTTAAAAAACCAAAAGTGACTAATAATATAAGAGAAACGGCAAATCTGGCAACATTGCAAATATTAAATCTGGAATTTCCGTATACCAAAATAGGTGTACATCAAATTTTGTACAATTGGGATTAGCAATTTAAGAGATAATTGACCGTTTCCAGACTTTTGGGCCACTCCGTATAGTAAATCAACACGAAAGGACCACTTAATACCATTTAACTCAAATCACCCCTCTCAACATAAATTATCAGCTCTTTCTTGTTATGTGCACAGATTAATTAATATCCCCTTTCAGGGTTAAATTATAAAAAAGAAACTAACTTACTTAAACAATTAGCTTCTAATAACGGGTTCTCAACAGACATAGTAGATAATATGATCAATAGAGTTTTGACTACGAAGAAGAAGAACCTAGAATTTCCTTACACTTCTAACAAGGATCAAGTAGTTTATAGATATTTGCCTTATTTTGGTTGTATCTCTACAGAATAAAGTTGATAAACTTAAAATTTCGTTTAAAACTCAAAACACCATTAAATCATTAGACAAGATTAAAAAGTTGTCTAGGGTTTATAAATTAAATTGTAACACTTGTGAAGCTACCTACATCGGTAGAACCATTACACCTTCAGAGACTCGTATCAAGGAACACCTATCTAGACCTGCTAAATCAAACTTTAGTTATCATATTAAATTTAATAACCATAGCTTCTCTCCTTCATCAAATAGCAAAATTTTACGCAGTGTTTCTGTCAATAACTTTAAGAAAATGGACCTACTGGAGGATCTGGAGATCCTTCGTGAGATGAACCTGAATTCTGGTAATTGTTTTAACACTCAAATACATTTAAACTGCAATTAAAACCTTTTGTTTAAAACTCTTTGGGAATCACAAGAGTTAAATTAAAAATAATATACTAGTTTCTTTTAATTCATTTAACTTCTACTTAATTTTAATTTTAGTTCAGTAATAATCACATCCGTTATCTAATCAGATATTTTACTTATTTTGTACCCTTATTTTTATTAACTCAATCAATTTATACTGTTTTCAAACTGATATTCAATCGTTATTCAACTCCGGAATCTATTGTTTTTAAAATATTTAAATTTGTTAATTTACTTTATTTGTTACTTCAGCTTCTCGGATGTTTTGAAGTCTACCCCTCGTTGACCATACTTATCATCATATTCACTGTGGTTGTCCGGTCGTAGAATAATCAACTCAGCACACAGCTGTGTCTTTACTTTGTTGTTGCCTTGTATGCATTTAGAAATGGCCTTCTTTACCTAATCCACCCTTAACATTTAGAGGGTCGAAAATTAAGGGTTGTATGTATTTTTTAATGCCACATAATAAAAAAATAAAAAATTTTTTTATCCAAAAAATAAAAAAAAAATTTGGGGTGGACACCCTTATCACTTAGGGGTTTGAAAGATAAATAGTAGCCGATTCTCAGACTTACTGAATATGCATAAAAAATTTCATAAGCATCGGTTGAGTTGTTTCGGAGAAGTATAGGAACGAACATTGTGACACGAGAATTTTATATATTCGAGCTTACTTTTCTGTAACTCCCTCTTTCATCCTTCCTTTCTAATTTACCGTTCTTTTTTCGACTAGATACCATGTATGGACCATGGAATTCTTACGCCTTTTTACTTCAAGTTCTCTGGCCTAGTATGGATCTAGAGTCATTGCCCTTTATTCTACTTTCCAAATTTCGATGTTCAATAGTTGCGCAAAACCAAATATACTTAGGTCTCTTAGGACCTCTGCATGGCTCTTATCCTTAGAAACCTTGTATATCCTTTCCCCTCGTTTTCATTATTATATATTTTTTAGTTTTTTTTGGTGATAAGTCTGGTCTAACCAGAGTTGACTCCAGAACCACCTAAACGCTCTTTCTACGCGTCATATTGTTCTGGGTCAGTCTGTCTATGTCATTTGTCTGCTGTTAATTGTCAAATTTAAGTACGCTTTTCACCTGTCGTACGTTGTAACAGGAACATGTATTATTTAAAAAAAAAATACAATTGCTAATAATGTTTTACTTTTAACTTTACTACTGGGGTTCGGTCCTGCTTTAACCCCCCTTTAATATTCATCTTTAATAATTGTTGTTAACAATTCTATGTTTTATCTGATTAACTTCCTGTAGAAGAAATTAATTATGTAAGTCTTTTGTCATGCTTTAATAATAGGAAATTTAATTTATAACGTCTTTTAGGACGGTTTTGAAGATGGCTTTATTAAGCTGAAAGCGCTTAGCCGAATATTTAAATAAACATTTTTAATTTTTTACACACTTCTGTATCTTTACTACTTTCATTTCATTTATTAATGAGATCAACACCTGTCAATAATTTTTAAACATTCTTTCTCTCTTCTATGATAATTGCTTCAGCAACAATATAAAAAAATGGTTGGTATTTATCACCTTAACTAATGTGATTGCATACGGTTTGTAATTAGATTTTTATTGTTGTTACAATTATGGAAATTTAGGAAATTTTTCTCTAAATGAAATAGGAAAAGTTAATAGCGTCTTATAGGTATAGTTTTATTTTTTTGTCAATTTTAGGTTTTAGCTAAAAGGCTGAGTAAATAACGGAACCTTATTAAATGACCCACAAGAATGTTATGTTGATAAGAAAGTTCTACTGTTGACTTTTTAAAATATTGATTGTATTGATTGTATATTATTCAGAATATTTATTGATAAAAAAAGGGAATGGAAAACGATATTTTGTCACAGAAGAAATGCATCATTTAAAACTTTGAGACAGTTGTTCCCACTTCAATAAGAATAATAATATTTATTTGCCTCAATTAAAATTACAATATAAATTTAAAAAATGTGATAAGTAAATAAGTAGACACCCATATATTCATGGCAAATAGAGTGTACATCCACAAAAACAGGCTTGTGCGTGAATGCAGTGTTCATTTATCATGAAAAATAGATGTATAAAAATTAAAAAGTATACATTTATGAAAATAAATATATAAGATTCACATAATAGCATTTTAAACAATTTAACTATAGAATATAATATAAAGGGACAATAAAAAAACAGTGTTAGTAAAATGAATTAGAATATTAATAAACATTAAATTATTAATTTTTAAATCACGATAAGATTGACAGACTATAACATGTTTTATTTCGCGGCGAAATAAAGTTTTGCAATTTAGCAGTCGGAAAAGATAGGATCCAATTTTTTATTTTCTTTTTAAATAAACTTGCGGAGTTAATTTTTTTTTTAATCAGATGGTAATTGATTATACAACTTTTGAGCCAGATACGTAAAACTTTTTTTTTCCTAAAGCTTTGTTGGATTGGCTTTAAAGTGGCTTTATCTTTATGTTGCTTTAGTAAAATCACTTTTACGTATAATTGGTAGATGTTTAGCTCTATAATTGTAGGGTAGGTTCTGGGTTTGTGAAATAAAACTTTTAATATACTTTTTTGAATTTTTTACAGGTATTTGATAAGAGTTTGTCCAGTCGATCCCCAAGCAATAAGACCGTACACTAGATGACTTTCGACTAATGCATAATAAAGAATTTAGGGTTAAACGATATTTAAGGTTATGTTATTTCTATATTTTATGTGATTTGACAGTTCTTGTGAAAAATATTAACAAAAAGGTAAGTGAGGTCCTGTAGTTACCCCTCTTCGGGATTTATGTACTATAAATATTTTACGCCTAATTGTCCTTTTTTGCAGACCATTTGCTAAAATGAGTAAATCTAATAATAGAAAGGCATTGTCGGACAAAGAACTTCAACGTGCTGCTGAAAGATTTGGAGATTTGTCAGATTCTGATCACGAAATTGAATACGAAATCGAGGAAGAAATCGATGAAGATTTTTTGCATGAGATCGTCTCGGAATCGGAAGTAGATTTAGAAAGTCATTCTGAAGAGGAATCTGATTTAGACCCGAGTATAGACACAGGCACAGATGTAATCGACGAACCTAACGAAAGCACAGAATATGTTGGGAAGTCCGGCATGAAGCGGATTAAGAAACTTTGGCCGAGTACAAGGCGTCTACAACAAAATAAAGTAAGCGATTTCCCTGGAATTACGACTTATAGTCAGGCGGCTAATTCATTTATAGAAAGTTTTAATTTATTTATATCACCCGAAATCAAAGATATTATATGTTTATATACAAATCAAGAAGCCGAAAATTATGTTGACTCTTGGAATCAAAAATATCCAAATCGTCCAAAAAAAAAATGAAAGTTATTAGATCACGTCGAGTTAGATTGCTTTGTGGAGATTTTGATCAAGGCTGGTGCTATGAGATGTAGACGGGAATCTGTAACATATATGTGGACTACTGATTCTAGTATAAGAGGATCATTTTTCCAGCTGCAATGTCACGTGATTTCAAGAAATTTCAGTTTTCTTGCGTTTTGATGACAAACTTACTAGGATCGAGAGCAAAATGTAATAAACTTGCAGCACTAAGTGATGTTTGGAATGCGTTTGTCAAAAATTGTAATAGGGCTTTTAAGCCTTATGAACACTTAACCGTTGATGAACAATTGGTTGCCTTCAGGGGGTCACTGCCCTTTTCGTCAATACATAAAGTCAAAACCAGCTAGATACGGCATCAAAATTTGGGCTGCAGCTGATGTCAAAACATCTTATCTATGCAACTTACAAGTTTACACTGATAAACTTGCTGGAGCAGCAAGAGAACAGAATCAAGGGCATCGTGTAGTAACAGATTTGGTCCATCTCTATTATAATGCAGGAAGAAGTATTACCACTGATAATTTTTTTACATCTGCTGATTTAGCGAGTTTTTGCTTACTGAAAACTTAACTCTACTTGGAACAGTAAGAAAAAGCAAATCATATACTCCCATAGAACTGAAGCTCACTTCTCATCCAGAACATTCATCCAACTGTGCTTTTACAAAGGATTTAACAATGGTGTCCTATATACTAAAAAAAAACAAAATGGTGCATTTATTATCATCTCAACATTATGACGACAGGAATAGATCTAAAAAACAACAAAAAACCTCTTATGATTATAGATTACAATGATACTAAAGTAGGAGTCGATAATGCAGACAAATTATTAAGTGAGTACACTTGTTCCAGAAGGACAGCACGTTGGCCTTTCAGACTATTTATGAATATAGTAGATATGTGTACCCTCAACTCATTCGTTATATACATTTAAAAGCACCCAGATAAGAAAAAACAGTGCTCCTCTAGACGGCGATTGTTTCTTCTAAAACTAGCGGATGATTTAGCCAATAAAAATAGGAATAAACGAGCTACCGATAAAATACTTCACGCACATATAAAAATGGCTCTAAGAGATTGTTGTGTTGAAATAGCTGCTCCATCTCACCATGAAACAGTAACTGACTTACGAAAACGTGGCAGGTGCTATAAGTGTTCGCGAAAAGAGGACAAAAAAAGTAAAATATGTTGCAAATATTGTAAAAAATTTGTTTGTGAGTTACATAGACAGAAACTTACCACCGTATTATGCACTGATTGTGCCATTAAAGTTTTTCTTGCGCATGTTTGTGTTTTGTTATGTATTTTGTGTACCGATAATTTTTCTATACTAGAGAAGCTTTTTGTCTTATGTTTCATGAATAATTGCAAAATTACTATAATGTAATACATTTTTCACTATAAAAGTTATATTTGTTACATTTTTTTAACCCAGACATTAAAATTCAACATTAACAACTAGGAGACCTTGAACAACAAGGGGACCTTAGTGACCCTTTTTACGTTTTATGGTAACTATTATTACCTTCGGCATCTAAGGGTTAAGCAAAATTAATTTTTTTTTTTGATTTTCACAAAATTGAAAGGAAATAATATTTAAATTAAGGTACATACTATGAAACTGCTGTTTTAATGAAACAAATTTACAAACTATGAGAGCTTTGGTTTCTTGTATGGTCCATGATTGTAAGACACATTAGTTATCTCAATATTAATTTCTTCTAAATTCGTTGATTCTTGAAATTGGATATGCGTGTAGTCTGGATCTTGGTATTCGTCATCGGCTAATGTGTCGTCATTTGGGCAATCAAGGTACGCATCTAACGGTGCACCGAATCCATTACTTTGGGTGCAAAACATATCCATTCGAGTTGTACACTAAATGCTTTTATAAATTATAATGACTAATTTGATTTTTCATATTTTATAAAAATATTTCTCTCAAATCCACCCAGGTGTTTTGGTTTTTTTCACGAATCAGTAAATTACACTCATTCAGTTAAATTCTTAGTTATAACGGATACGTGTTCTTGAAAAATAAATTCGTCAGCTGGCCTAAGTATAGAAAAGAAAGTAAAGGTAGACAGTTTAAAGTAGAACAAATACAAATCTCTTTCCTACTAGGTATTCTGAGAAAACTAATGCGCGCGAACATAAACTATTCATTGAAACTGAACTGTGAAAACTACATTTATTTCTATTTTTAACCGACTTCAAAAAAGGAGGAGGTTATCAATTCGTCGCGATATTTTTTTTTTTTATGTATGTTCAGCGATTATTCTTTAACACGGTGTCCGATTTCAATGATTCTTTTTTTGTTAGAAAGGGGGTATTTCAGGGGCGGTCCCATATAAATTTAGTCAAAATCTAATAATTGGGTCCATGAGAAAATCCTCAAACTCTTCATTTTTTATGTATGTTCTGCGATAATTTTTTAACACGGTGTCCGATTTCAATAATTCTTCTTTTGTTAGAAAGGGGCTACTTTAGGGGTGGTCCCATATAAATTTGGTCAAAATCTAATAATTGTATCCATGAGAAAATCCTCAAAGTCTTCATTTTTTATGTATGTTTAGCGATAATGCTTTACCACCTTGTCTGATTTATACGATTCTTTTTTGTTAGTAAGGGGGTACCTCAGGGGTGGTCCCATATAAATTTGGTTAAAATGTGGTGATGGCATCTGCACGTTTTTGAAGTCGGTTTTTTTAAATTTTTAATTTGTAATACTTGTATTTTTACAATGCTCTACCGTCAATAAGGAGTATCTAAAGTGACTAGTCTTTTCAGCCTATTAGCCCTATGTTTGTTTTCTGTACTGTTTACCTATTCTGTTATTTCAGTTATGTACGGCGCCGAAGGCATTTTATATTGACAAAATCAAATTATGCACCAATGACATTTTATATAGGTACAATTTTAAATGTACTTATTAAGCCTTGTATAGTTAAAGCAAACAATGCTGTTAACGTTCAAAGTACACAGAATGTTAAATACACGTTTTTCCTTTTAAAAATTTACGGTTTGAATTTTCAACTGTCAATGTACGCTGTGTTCAATCAACATTTTAATTAATAGCTGATGAAATCCGTGTATCGGTTTCCCATCGCAGTATGCATTCAATTAAACAATATACAATTCAATTAATACTTGATATTTCAGGCCGGTTCACTCCAACTGGGTGCGCTTTTAAATGAAATTGAATAACTTAATCTGATAGCATAGCTTCTGCTGCCTAAAGGTTGAGTATTAGTAATGTTTTGTACTTTGAAAATGTTTGCATAAATGATCCCTTTGAATTTAAAAGTTTTTTTTACTAATAAGCATTTAATTAAAAAATAGAGCCATCAGCGACCAGAAAGTAATACTTATCAATTAGTCTGTCTTACACGGCCATACAATTTTATTTGGTGATATAGATTGGTTAAATATTTCACAAAAAATAGTTTAGCTATTAGCTTTTATATAGAGCGTAAGAAAAAGTTAGGTTATGTATTATACCAGATACCCTGGGGTCAAAACTCGCTTAGAACTAAATTATCTATGTAATACAAATGTGCACAGAAAAAAATATAATCTCGAAATTACAAATTCAAAATCGAATTTTTTTTTAATAATTCCGGAAACTATTAAACAATTTTAATTTTTTTGTTAGAGTATTGTTACTACTTAGTCATTATTGATGAACATACAATTTTAATCTAAAAATCTTATGAACTAATTACTTATCTAAGAAGTCCCCATTGGGCTGTATTAATTGTGTATATAGGAAAGTATCACAAATTGGCGTGCGATTAATTACAGTGTTTTACGCTAGCACTAACATTCACTGCACTAGCTCGAATACCTAGTCGACAAAATGCTAGCCAGAGAAGAATAATGGACAAAATTAGAAAGATGATCATGATGATTGTGTCTCCCAAGAGAAAGAAAGCAGTAAGGATACAAGGCTAAAATAGAAACAGACAACAACGTCCGACCTACCTTGTAGTAATACCAGCCGGCAGATCCTAGGGTGTCCACTATCGACGAATGGGTTGGTTATAGTAGGTATGTCGGCCTTGCACCCTCATCCAGGAGTCCCAGACTACCAGGAAAGGGCAGAACCATGTGCCTGGTGTCCATAATGGATTCCCACCTAAAAAAACTAGCTCGACTTGTTTCTGTGTTGAGTTTAGAGTTGTCCATTAATTGTGGCGCTTCTTCTTTGACGTGCAAGTGAAGTCGACCCTCATGTTTCGCAGCAAAATGTATTGTTTCTTCTTCGATTCTTGGTATCTTTAAGTGTCTATGAAGATAATCGTTTTGATAGAACCAAGGTTCATCAACGAAGCATGTTAGGACTTTATTTTGGAAAACTTGTATCATGTTGATATTTCTCTTGCTGGCACATTCCCATAGCTGTATGCCATAAATCTACATTGGTTTTAGAATTTGTTTATATATCAGTAGTTTGATAAACATTGACATTGAACATTTTTTTGAATTTAAGTTCAAGTTCTTTATTTTTTATGTGCTCTTTCCATTTAAGCCGTACATCTTAGTTCATCTTTAGGTATTTGGCCGAATCGTGATGCATCATTGTTTATTCTTATTTGTTTTTGTTCATTTGGTCGATGAGTAAAATCAACATGTTTCAACATCAACAGTTTTTTGTCCATCGATTGAACCTGTTGTAGGCTTGCTGGAGTTATT